TTTTTTTTTATATCTGTGTACATTAATTCTAACTTTTCAGCTTTAATAAAACCTGGCCACAAAAAGCTTTGAGAATCATATTCATCTTGAGCTGCTTAAGGTAAATAGAGTAAATAGTTCAAGTGATTCATTATAAGTCATAAACTTTTAAAAAACACCAGATAGCATTTCTGGGACAAGAGAACACATCTTAATCTACGTTCTGGTGAGATAAGCATATTATAATTTCCCAACCTGGACAGGCCCCTGGTATGGAGCATTCTCAGCAGCTTCGTCTGCCTCCATGGCTTACCCTCCCTTTCACGTGCCCATTTTCAAGTTTCCCCATGACACAGATGAGGGCACAGAGAGCAACAAGGACATGTACCAAATTACGGTCACAAAACGTATGGAATAAAGTTCAAGCATCTGGAGTAAATTCTGATTATGTACTATAACCTATGGAAACTGGTTGGTCATGACTGCTCACTCTTCCTCAGTCCAACCTACCTCACATAACATTTGTGGTGGGGAAAAATTGGAGGTGAGAGTTGTTATCTACTACCTTGAGTTGCAGAATGAAAAGTGAGATATAAATCTACCAAATAACAATAACTCAAGTCTTATTGTTTTAATAATTAAAATATGTTAGGATTAGGAATAAATCATTATTTAATCCCTTATTTCTAGTGCAATAGTTATTACATTATATAAGGAACATAGTAAGACATACTTTATATATGTAATGACAGGGTTTGGCTAGCACAGTTGTGTAAATGCAGATTATGAGTGGACCCCCATGTGCTTTAAGTGAATTGTAATGAATGGAACCATTTTCCCCTACCCCCCAATAAATTATGGATTGTGGGGTTAAAATCCATTTCAACCACAAGGATCCTTGGCCATGCAAACAACTTTTCACATGGCTGTAGTGGAATGTATTGGATCGTGAATACATACTTGATCATTTCATGTCTGCATAATAAAAAGGACTGGTATGTTCAAATTAATCATCACAGTTTTTACACTACTGTAGAACTTTTACTTCCACTTCCACTCCATGAGTTTGATTTTTATGGCAAGGATCAAATGCAGAAGAACCAAGTGATGGATATATGGACTAGTGAAATGCCAGTTTTTGCATGACGTGTTACACGTATGAAAAGTTCTGATAATTCTATGCCATTAAGATCTGCTGTGCATAATACCACTTGAAGAACTATGGCACATTTTACAACTAGTATAAATAGTATAAAATAGTATAATGTTTGCAATACTATGTATGCTAGTAAGTATAATAGGTCATCTTTGCAGCAAACCTGGAATGTGTTAGTCATATTCTATCTGCTACATGCTGTCTTACGTTGTCGGTTCTTGGGAGAATAAGGACCATCACTGAACTTGCAGATGAAAAAGAATACATTCTGTGCCATCTTTGCAACCCTCTACTTTAAGGATACACTTGTTTTTCTTCTGCCCCAGCTATATTTGACAAGTTTGCTTTCAGCAGATATGACAGGCACTGGTGGGGGTCACTGGCCCAGTTCCACATCTCCACATTTGGCTTGCTCTGGGTTCACTGGCCTGAACTAATATCTCCAAAGGAGGTTGTATTACTGAACATTGTGAGGTTTTTTTTTTTAAACCCACATTAAACATGCATTGACGGTTCCCCTCTGCTTATCTGACAGCTGTACAAAAATAAAGAAAATTCAGTTTGAACTTTTAACAAGCAGGGGCTTAATTTATGTCCAGTACTTTTGTTCCTGGTTTTCTTTTCCATTTGCCAATTGCTAAGCTTAAGAGAGATAATAATATGGAGGGATTTCTATTTTATGGGTCCACGTGGCTTCCTGTGCCCGTGTCACAGGGACTGAGCCAAATCTACAGAGAGGGAAAGAGTTTTCAGATGGAAATTTGATTAAACAATACAATCATCTGTCTCACAATCTGTTTTTATATTTCTCTATCCATCTATCTATCTATCTATCTATCTATCTATCTATCTATCTATCTATCAGGAAAGTGTTTTTCTTTCAGAGAGTTATATACACAAAGGGTGAGAGATCTCATGAATGCTGATGGAAAGGGGCTTGGCATTTTCTGTCTTTCTGTGTAGCAAAGACCAAACACTCCAATACAATCAGAAAACACAGATGTTGCTTGGAGCATATTTGATGACTTTTTGAAATCACTGAGAACAATGACTTTTTTTTTCAGTGCAACAATAGGAGTTCAGGACAGACAACTTGAGCAAGGCGTGAGAGAGCTGAAACTTGAGGCTCCCCCTGCCTGCCTGCTTCAATGGTTTTTGTTTTTCTTGTGGTGGGGAAAGGCATTTTAGAAGGATGCTGTAATTATAAACTGAAAATCTTTTTTGCCCCCTTCGGTTCTATATTTCGCTGGATCATATTGCTTTTAAACACTTCAAATGGAGGTGGGGTTGGGAGACAGAAAAGTGCTATAATAAAACTAAATGTGTTGGACAAAATTCAGAGTGCTGGTTTCCCATTCAGGTTCCATGGATTTCCACAAGAAAGTTACAGCCCAGTCCTAAGAATGCCAACTCAGAAGTAAACCTCTTTAAGCTCCTTGTGACACAGGGCGCTTTCAGACAACAGGCTTCGTGTCTCCTGACTTTTCTGATTCCACTTTAAAATTGATTGAGGCTCTTTTAACTATATACAGACATCAGTAAAGCAGAAGTACGGGCATGTTTATATGTTTGTAAGGCTGTGGAGCTCACTGAGAATCAATAGGCAATCAGCACTAAGTGTTAAGCATGTAGAACTATAAACCAAGCTGTACATACTTGTCAACCAGGAATGATTGCCTTTTCCTGCCCTCTCAGTTTCATGCCTAAGCACATGTCTCCACCACTCTTAAACAAACAAACAAACACACACAAAGGAATAAATTTCCAGCATGTTGTTATCTCCATAACATTCCAAACTTCTGCTGGCATCGTACTGAGATTCTTTTAGGAAACTATGACATCACAATGCTTTAGTGCGATTCCAAGAGCTTGGAGATTAGATGAGCCCACCACCCCCTCCAATGAGAAGAGAATCTTTGAAATGCATGGAAGCAAATTATTGCTGCTTCTGCAGTGAAACAGTCACAGTTTGAAATAAAATTTCCTTTTCAGTGGATAGAATGCCATTGGCAGAAAAACACTCTGGAAATTATCACAATAGTAAGGACCCAATGATTACATCATATGGTCAGTGGGGGATCACTTTAGCCCATGGTCATGACTGGACCTCTCCTCTGGAAGAGACGTTATTCCCTATTAGTGAGTGCTGAGGATTTTGCAAGTGGCTAAGAAACAGATTCTCTGAGAATCACAGTCTGGACAGTTTATAAATGTGCATTTAAATTTCCCCAAATACTATGCTTTTCCAGAAAAATGCCTTCACAAACGTTTTACTTACATTGGTTGTTTTTGTTTTTCTGGTGGTAGTAATGTTTTAATCTTGTTACTGTATGAAGGACTGTTAGCTGCTCAGGGTCTTAAAGCAGCATAGAAGCCCGAGTCAAAAAAGAGAGAGAGAGAGAGAGGGAGAGGGAGAGGGAGAGGGAGAGGG